TATCAGCGGAATAGGAGGAAAAGAATGTGACAAGGGACCAAGGGGAAGGAGGTGAAGTATCAGGAAAAATGTCAGGAGGGGACTGATACAGGGAAGGACACTGTTGTGACTGACGTGAGTCAAATGACCATCCAGGAGGGAGTGGTAGGGGATAATGGGAAAAGAGGGATGGTGCAAATGGGCATGATGAGAATGGGGTGCATTAGGAGAGAGTGGGGGGAGAGGGGTAGGGGAACTTGAGGCTGAAGATAGATTGGAGGGTGGATGGGCAAGAGCAGCATTCTCTTTGGTCATTTTTAGGAAGTTTTGGATGTCCTCAAGAATGTCTGGAGAGGAGTTGGGTGGAGAGGTCTAAGGACTAAGGTTTTCTAATTTAGAGACGAGGAGACAGATATCTAAGGAGCAGAAGAGGTGGGTGTAGGAGAGAATGTGGCAGGAGAAAAGTGAGTGAGAAGGAGGGGTAATTTCTAGGGAAGGTAATCTTGGCAATATTTGTGTAGGATATGTATTGGCCTCTGGGAGGAATAGTGTAGCATTGTACTGACACTGCATCATAGTCAAAAAGGCAAGCAAGCAGGTAATTTTCAGCCTGACCAATCCTTGTTGCAGACAGGGCATTTAGTTAGTTAATATGCCATTTCCATTACAGGTAGGCTGTCTCTAATAAAAGCAAAAAACAATGCCATCTGCTCAAGCATCATTAATTTCAAGCAGGTAATTACTGAAAGGATTACAATCTTTATTTTTACTGGTCGTGGTCTGATAGCACTGATTGGGGGCCTTATCCTACATATATTTTGCCAAGATGTGGAAGCTGTTGTTTGTTCATATGTGAGTTTTCCAGTTCTAGCAAAGAAGCCATTAAATAATTTGTGTTAGTTTGGAATTTTAGACTATTATCTTGATGTTATTTGTTTGGTAATGTTTTAAATATCTTATCTTTTTTAACAATCAGTTTATTTATTTGTGAAACAATTGGTTTTGGCTCTGTGTACCAGCAATTTGTCACCTTCCCTTTTGTTTATAATTAGCCAGAAGGGC